CTATGGATCATTTTAAATGCTCGTTCAATTAATTCGCGCCAAGAACAAAAAGATCTTCATAATACGGGGCGGTATATACTAACCTAACTTCTAATATAAAAACAGCCATTGACATGTGGAGGAAGGCAAATATGATGATTAAAAAAGGTTTGTTTATTTCTATTTGGTTTTAGTATTCATACAGCCAATTAGTTAGCACTCACCAATCCGCACTGGGCCCGCGTAGTGGGTCATGGCCCGACCTCCCTATTCCACCCTATCACGCATTTGACACAATGACTCTTTGCTCTGACAGAGAAAGACCACAAAAAGAACTATTTGACATAATTTATTATCTTTTTGGCAGAATAATTGGCGAAATCTTTGACAGAATAATATAAACGCGTTATTTCGGCAAACATTACAAAAAACCAGTTTTTAAATGGTTTAATATTTACTTACCTACATAATGCCAGTCTTTAGTAAGGACTGGTATAAGTCGCGGCACGAAACTCTAGCGCTGACCGTTATTTTCTGCGCAATAACGGTCAGCGCTACAGTTGAAAATTAAGATGTGTTGGGGGGAAACGAGGTGCGCGGGCGGGCGTACGTTGCGCCGATTGCACGGTAATATTATCTATACAGTATTGTGACTCGGCCCTGTCCTTGAAATAAATGCCTACGGCCGAGCGGGATGTAACCACGGGGTAGGGCTGCCGCCTACAGTATTTTAATTTCATCTACATAATTGAGTATCTTTCTAGTTTTGTGATTGTTCATATTTTATTTCATATGTAAAAAAAAATGTTGTGAATGACTTAGGAAGTGTTACATAAAACATATGTTATTTTAAGTGTAATATTTAATAAAAAAATATGTAGATTTGAGACAAAAAAATATTTACGCCTCGACTAAGACGTACGAAAAGCGTTATTATAAAATTGAATAGTATAATAAATACGCATTCGTATAAAAAGTTTAATTATTGAACAGTTCAAGCAACCAAAACCAGCACAATATCGACTATTGCTCTTTGCCATATTCAATTATGTAAGTATTCACTTAATTCAATTAAATATTGTGAATATTTTTATACAAACGTTTAAGCACGGCTAACTGCTTAAAAAACAATTCACAGCGTTCGATCGGTCGCTGCGGCGCATTCGCGACTGGATGCCCATCAGGTGCCGCGCGAACTCGACTAGCGTAGGTGTGACACGCTTTCCGACCATTACCGTGCCGATTGTCTCTCCAGTCGTACCTATGAGCAGCTATCCCCATCGCGTTTTGTTCAGCGCTAGAGTTACGTGCCGCGCACCTGTATTATGTAAGCTTTACCACCCTGACATCAGTTACCTCCAAAACGCGATCAACTGAATATAAGAATACAGTATATCCCCGGCTTACTCCTTCCACTTCTTTGTTGTATTTTTCGACAGGCAAGGTCAGACATACAAATAAAACTTGACAAAATAGCTAATTTTATGAAGCCCACAATGATGTATCAATCCGATTAAAAATTTAAGGGTTCTTTATATATTTTCGTCGTGGTTTTGTATATTTTCGTAAACATATAAGATTCAACAACCTTGCCTAAAGGGGCTCCTTTTAGTAATATGTTTAAGTTATTATATTATATTTTTTAAGGTTTTTAGTTTAGGGTTCATTATTCCTGTGTATATTAATAAATATAAGATTCAACATAGATTTTCTTTTACGTTGTAATAATATAAAGTGTTGTACTTTTACGCAACATGATATATTTTGGTAGGCGGGGCAGTTAAATATTAACAAGATTACGCAGCGACCTTAACCCGGCGTAGAGGTATAAGTTAAACTTAAGTTCATTAACGGATTTGTTGGTTAAGCAAACACAACACTTACTTATTTTTAAATTTAAATCTAAAGAAAATATAACTTGAAATAATTCCACTCCAGTCCATTCCAGACCAGGCAGCAGACGGGACTCGAACCCGCACCCTTCGCTATCCGAATGAACTGACCATTATGCTCCCGAAGCCCTGATGGCCGTGTCGAATTTTCTCTAACATCTCTTAGGTCCACGTGGAATTTTGTCTGGTAAAATTTTCTTTAGATTTAAACATCTAGCAGTTAAATGCTAAAACAAAGAATTAAAATAAGCTTATAGAAACTTACTTATTAAAAAATCTCATTTTTAGTGCACGTCTGACTGATGCAGGTAGGTATTAAATGTTTTTCAAAAATGGAAATTATTATCAAAAATTACAGTCAGTCTACAAGACTACGCCGGGGAAAGCCTGTATTCTTGTATTCAGTTGATCGCGGATGTTAAAAACGGTATAGCTTTCATAATACCAGTCCTTACTAAAGACTGGCATTGTGTAAATTAGTAAATACATAATCATTTAAAAACTGTTTTGTGTTATGTTTGACAAAGTTAGGCATTTATATTATTCTGTCAAATAGATTTAATCTGAAATCTGAATCTACTTTGTTTGTGGTCTTCCTCTGTCAAAGCAAAGAGTCATTGCGTCTAATGTGTGGTAGGCTTTCCGTATGGATGGAATAGAGAGATTGGGCCATGAATAGGGTTGCCATTTAAGAATTTCAAAAGTCCTGACAAAAACCCTGACATATCGAAAAAAAACCGGACGTATTAGTCACAGAATGGTATTTAAATCATTAACCATTTAAACCGTTACTTAATTAGTTACATGGTATGATATTTAAATCATTATGTACTTTTATTAATCCTATAAACGTAATTTAAAAAAATCCGTATAGTTTAAAGATCTGGACAAATTCCGGACAAAGGTCTAAAAGTCCGGACATGTCCGGTAACTAATCCGGAGGGATGGTAACCCTAGCCATGATTAACTGAACAATAAGTGTAGAGGATTTGTAATAGGTACATAGCATACTAGGATAATTTTATTCTGTCCAACTTAAAGCCTGTACTTTTATAATAGCAAAGTGGTTGATAAGCTGAATGAATAAAAGAGATGCTTCAAAAGTGGTAGTTGATATCCGGCAGCGACCAAACATAATATCATTTGAAAGCACGTTTATAAGATATGACCTACGTTGTCACCGTCTAACTGTGGCCACAATTCCAACGCGTAAAAAGAAATTTGATGACTCATTTCTTTGTCGTACTATCCGTAAATGGAATGCTCTGCCCGCTCACGTGTTCCCTCCCTCTTACAACCTGGGATCCTTTAAAAGAGGCGTGAAGAAGCAACATGCAGGCCGGCAGGGTGAGGATGGCTGGTGTGGCAGGTAGAACTGCTGTATCAGCTATTTTCGCGTCTGGACTTCACCTTCACTTAACATCAGGTGGGGTGGAGTTATATTATGTCGGATCTATCTATATAAAAAAACATGAACAGATACTTTTAATTTTTTATTTACATCCCATTAATTTAAAATCATGTTTAAAAATTTTACAATTTTGTAAGGATTGATTTGATTCTGGCCACCCTGTCATAGGTAATGTCATATTTTTAATGTATGACAGCATATAACATCAACTAAATTACTATGGCAAATGTCAATCTATCCAGTCATGCATGATATTGGTGAAACCCTGGTAGAGTTATAGGTAATACCAATTTATGACAGATTTTTCTTAAAATAATATACGCACAAAATACCTAATAATGTAATGAAAGATGGACAGATTTATAACTTCATTATCTATTGATATATTCTAATAATGGATGCTTTAGCAGAAACGATAAAAGATAAATAAACTTGCCATTTATCAATCAATAGGTATATAATTTTAAATTACAGAAATTATTTAAAAAAATGTACATAAAATAAATACAAACAGACTGGTGTTTCCGATTACTGACAATAAAACAAGCGATATTTAGGAGTTTCAGATTATTGGTCAATCTCTCTAGCTACTGTGAAAGCCAATTGCTCGACTATGCTTGATAACACTTTGAGCATACATATTAAATTACATGATGCGTAGTTTGGTTGGAAGATTAGTCAATCACTCACTATTCACTATATGATTTAGTAGATACCCATCAAACATTGCTCGTTGCGTAAATGTCGTTGGCGTTGCGTTGTTGACAGCTTTCCCTTATCTAGCTAGTCCTCAGCTGTCGAAAGGTATGGTTAAAAAGGATTCTGGACCAATAGCCGTTCTACTGGAACCTTCCCTGGCTAGGCAGTCCGCCGCATCATTGCCCCTTGAGCCACTGTGTCTTTTAATCCATTGTAAGGTCGAACTAGGGCTGCCATCCGTCCGGGTTTCCCCGGATTTGTCCTAGTTTACGGGGCGTCCGGGGAGCGTCCGGGCGGGGTTTCATTTGTAGTCCGGGTTTAAAAATTCCTGTTTTGGGTCACCAATTAATCCGTCAATTTATATGTCTTTGAAAATAAATAAATCTATTCTAACACTGTAACCATAAATGCTGACTTCCAACAAAGATCTGCTTTGTCGCCTACACTGTCCGCAATAACAGTATTCGTTGCTATGTGGAAGACAGCACTGAAACTTTTTACACTGGCCGGTCAAACATCCCTCGGATGGAAGAAGAAGGGTGTAAAGACAGACTTTTGTCCGAGATTGAGATGTTACTGGATCAAGTCTCAAATTGGAGCCAACAAAATTTTATTGGATTAACACATTTTTAACTGTTTTTTTATTTGTCTGTCCGGGTTCTGGGCTCCAAAATCCGGGGTTATCACGAGTCTTATCCTGGTTGCCACATTTTCGAGATGGTAGCCCTAGGTCGAACCATCTTCTAGCATTAAGTAATATAAAACAGCGGGAAATTAGCAAAATATTCCTATACATTTATCACTAAATAACTTCGTGGAATCAAAGCTCATTTGCTCCTGCAGGGTTTTAGTTTTATCTCGCTTTTTGTAAACATAAAGCTGTTATCTGTGGAGCCACGAATCTCGGCATCTTAGTGACGTAAGTATCGTTCGTATCGTAACGTAAACTGTTTGATGGGAAACGCACGCGTGAAATCGACAAATGTTTGCAAAGTGTAGTCTTAATACCGGCGTCGTTTCGAACGCGCGCGCATAATCTGAAGACGTTTAAAACTCTTTGGTTATTCTCATTTAAAAAAAAAGAACGCGTACAGTATTTTTAATTTAAATAAGAAAAAAAACGACATTGCTATTTTGATTTTTGTGCTTTTCTGTGCGCCAAAACTAAAACTTTTTGGTAGTTCTCGTGAAAAACGAACGCGTTCTATGTTTTATTTAAATACGAAAAAACGGACATGCCTGTTTTGATTTTGTTATTTTTCTGTGCGCTTAAACTGAGCATCTGGTATGATGTAAATGAAATTGAAGCTTTTTAATTTTATTAAGTTTTTGATTGAATTTTTGAAGCGTTTAAAATTTAAAGAACTTTTTAATTAGAATTTTTATGATGGAGACGGAAGATCTGATTGAAATCAAACAACAAGACAACATGGAGATTCATAAGCTAGTTGGACTCATACCAATGTTTATATTAATTATTATGATTGTATTAAGGCTGTCGTGGGTGCTCTACAGAAGTGCAATGGGTAAGTCTCTTATTATTAACATCTTCTTTCTTCACCCTATATTTATATTCAAAAGTTACTGATGGAGACTACAAATGAATATAATAGGGTCATACACAAAAATTGAAAAAAAAGTGTTCTATAGTCAAAAAATTATTCGGTTTAATTATATTACATGAAAACTTTGTCATTTAAGTAATCCGCCTTTATATTGTTTTTCCTATCTGAAAAGAATAACGGTGCTTTGTTTTTCAGATTATCATTTTAGTATTTTTTATATAAACGTCCCCTCCTGTAGACTGTTCGGATAGGAATGCCGAACTTCAAGAGGTTATTAAAAATATTTGTATGCCATTTCTCGATTAATATTTTTACAACATAATTATTCTTTAGATAGTGTGTACAGTTATTTAAATATCTAAATAGATACATGTTAAAATACTGAAATAAAATAAATAAATATACTGTTCTCAAAATGTGAGTCTACTTCTGTAGACGTGAAAAATGAGTAATAATCTGTTTGAAACGGAACGCATATCAAATTTTTTTTTCCTGTGTTGGCAGTATTGCGTCCTGTGTCAGTTGTCGGCAGCCATCACAAGAGAAAGGTGAGTAATTATTGTGAAAATATATTTTTATGTGAATACACATATTTTTGTTAAATTTCAGTGCGTCTTTCCTGCGTCCTGTGTAGCATGATAAGTATATTGATTAAAACTGATTGATTGTATTTTCATTGTCAATTTTAAGGCGTAGTATGTGAATAATATACCGTTAAATTTCTAACCTTAAAAAATTTCATGCCATCTTACATTAACCACCTGTGTGTCCCCCCTGTAGAAATATTTTCTGTAGACATGGTGTCTACAGAAGAGATCTTGTCTACAGAAAGGACAATGTAAAGGCACACACTGTGTCTACAGGAGAGTTGAGGTCTACAGGAATTTTGTTTTGATAATTCATACACATGCTTGCTTCACATATTTATATTTACCCTTTAGTAAATATATCATCGTTAGAGTTAATTTTGTCTCAAAACATGTACCAAATTATGAGTTAGTTCTACAGAAGAACTGATATTTTTGAACATGAGTATAAAAATTAAGAAAATTTACATTAAATAAAATACTTACATGAACAATAACTGGTTATCAACTAAAATTTACTTATGCTTATATATTTTTTAGATGCCACGAAAAAGTAGGTCTACATCACAGCTATCTGAAGAAGAAAAAATAAAACGAAGGCGTGAACAGAAAAAAATAAGTATACGACGTGTTCGAGCTCGAATGAGTCAAACAGACCTTGAAGAACGGAGAAGAAAAGACAGAGAAAGATATCATAAGAAAAAAGAACAAGGACTTATTAAAACCATCAAAGATTTCACTCCGAGAGAACAAAGACAAATAAGAAAATTGTGGAGGGAAAAAGCCAAGAAAAAACGAGAAAAGCAAAAAATACACAACGCTGCGCATGATTTCGTAGAAATCAATACTCCGCCTTCAACTCCGACCCTATCACGTGCGAGTGTTGGTAGTACAATATCACAACGTAACAAACGACGTCTTAAGAATGAGAATATTTATTTGAAGAAAAAAATATGTGAATTGGAATCTAAATTAGCAAAGTATAGAATGCGATGTATTAGAGCAAGAAAAAAGATGAACGAAGAAAAGAAGAAAGAAAGGAGGCCTAAAAGAATTGGAGATAGAGAGACAAAAAAAGCGGTTCGTGACTTTTTATTGCAAGATGAATATAGTAGGTCTACATCAGGAAAAAAAGAAACAATCACGCGTAATAAAATAAAAAAACAGTTACGTTTTTTGAACGACTCGCTATTAAACCTTCATAAGATTTTTGTGAAAAAAACCGGAATGCAAATATCTTATGAAACATTTCGCAGGTATCGGCCGTTTTGGATTCTATTTCCTAAAGTTGAAAGTAGGAATACCTGTTTATGTATCATACATACGAATACAAACTTTCTTGTTCAAGCACTTCACTATGCGAAAGTCATTCCTTTTAAAACTGCAACTGATCTTGTCAAGTCCTTATGCTGCAATAATATTTTAAACGTTCGTTGTTTAGAAAGAAAGTGTCCCCTATGTAAAGAAAACATTATCACTTCAAATAATTTTGATGATGAGGATTCCATTACCTATGAAAGATGGGTTACAAAAGATGTAACTGTGGTTATTAAAGGTACACGAAGACAATGTAAAAAAACAATAAAAGAAAAAGTGCAAACAACTAAAAAAAATATATTTGATAATTTAAATTCAATATTGCCGACATTCATGAAACATATTGCTTATATGCTGCACCAAATGAATACAATTCATGATATTAAGAAACAAATTTCACCTGAAGATGGCCTACTTCACATAGACTTTTCGGAAAACTACACTTGCAAATATAGTCAGGAAATCCAATCTGCGCATTTTGGTGGATCGAAACCTCAATTGTCATTGCATACATCAGTGTATTATAGTACACGTTTGGATCCCCCAGATAATTTTTTGCAATCCACATCATTTTGTACGGTATCCGAAAATCTCAGACACGACCCCGTATTAATTTGTGTTCATTTGAAAGCACTGACAGCAAAAATTGAAGAATTGTCACCTAATTTAAAACACTTACATATTCTAAGTGATGGTCCCTCAACGCAGTATCGAAATAAATCGATGTTTAATTTAGTTGCTACCTATATAAGCAAGGAGTTTGGACTGGATACAATATCATGGCATTTCAGTGAAAGAGGTCACGGTAAAGGAGCACCCGATGGTGTAGGTGGGTGCATAAAACGAATTTGTGATAGCCATGTGGCAAGAGGCAACGATGTTTCTAATTTGGAAGGATTAATATCTTGTTTATCTACGAATTGTAAAGGCATTGAGGTTTACAGAATCAACGAATCACTTATCCCTGATATAGAAGACATTTTGAACAGAAGTATTATACGGCCCTTTAAAGGGACACGTGAAATTCATCAATTAACGTGGAGTATTAAAGAACCGACACTAATACATGCAAGACGTTTGAGTTGCCTGATTTGCGCCACACATGTTAAATGTCCACATTATGAACTAGGGACAATAGATGTCAACTGTAAACCTGTCGACAATTCTAAATCTCTGGATATCTCAGAAGCTCCAAATACCCCAGAGGTTCCAGAAGCTCCAAATACTCCTGAAGCTTCAACTGTATCAATCTCACCTGGTTTTAGTGACAGGTTAACACCCGAAGTCTCTACTGAGGCATCTGAACAAAATGTTAGGCCTAACAAAAGAGTTCAGCCCAGTAAGAATCTTTTAGAAGACTCTGATTCATCTTTAGAATTGTTTCCCAAAAAAAGACGATCTCTGATTCCAATGTGGGAAGGTTCAGACGACGATTCCATTTTTTAATATTTGTTCTACAGAACGATATGTCCAAACTGTAGACATTTTTTGATTTTTTTTTTTAAGTTTTATATACTTGTTTTTGTTTTGATTGCATATAATAAAGAAAAAGTAAGTCACATTAATTAATATAAAAGAAGTTTTTGATATATTTGTTATGTTTTAAATACTAAAAGTATATTTTTATTGTTTTCTGTAGATTAATTAATCTATCCTGTAGACGGAAAATTTATGAAAATGTGATTTTTCTGTTGTAATAATGAAGACTGACCTACGCTCATAATTTTGTAAGACTGATAATAATTACTTTAAAATAAATACCAAAATTCGAATCGTTATCTGACTTTTTATTTTATTTTCTTTTTTGAGCACCACTTTTGTGTATGACCCAATAATAACAAATAAATATTTCTAGTAAATAATAACAAATTTATATTACATGACACACTTATTAGCTTATCCCCTAAGAAGCACTTCAAGGCTTATGTTATGATGGGACACTAAGGTAAATGATGCGAATAGGTACATATTTATGTATTTATTTCTCTTTTCTACAAATATAATATGAAAGTGATAAGTATAAACTCTGGAAACTTTATTCACCAACAAAAACGTAACACCACCAAAAATGTAGCGTTATGGAAATGAAATTATACCAAACCGTCTTCAGGTTTCAAGTTATTTCTCGGTTTATTTATTTATTTTATTAGGATCACAGTATAAAATTATTTCAACATAGTTAGATATAGGCTAAGTATAGCAAATTTTAAAGGTGAACACCAAATGCATAAAGAAAAACAAATGTAAATGTGAAATGTTGATCAGTTAACTATTTCAAAAGGCATCACAATGTTACAATACGAAATTATAGGTTATCTCATAAGGGAGACATGCCCATTTCACTTAAAATACATTGTTGCACCATCAGGACCCAGTCAATTCAGAAAGGGCGATTATTCTTCGCATTCCAATGAATGTGTGTTCAATTGAAACGGGTTTCTGAGTAAATTTCTTTGCTCAAAAAATCTCGCAATTATTTGTTGTAAGGTCAAAACAAAATTGTGAGATATTTGTTGGTGTGTCTATCACTCACAATATAACTAATGATTCGTAGGATGTAGGTATATTATACTCGAAGTTGGATTTTTCATTAGACCACATAATAATATACTTTAGAATTAAAAACAATGACCCTAGGAAATCCTTGATGGTGATGGCAAGAAAATCTTTCCGTCAGTTTTTTTTTACAATAACACAGAAATCTTAAAATTTTCCGGGGCTAAAGTATCCTATATTTCAAATATCTAAATATGCAAAACATAATGTTCATATTTATTTATAATTCATTTATTTAAAAACAGAATATGCAGTAACTATAGTAGGTATAATAATTATAACAGTAGGATTTAAGTGAACTAAGTAAGCAGGATAGTAGCATAAAATGAAAACATTAAGGGCTACTTTTTATACTCCCCAAAAATCTGGCTGACTTGAGAAACTACATACCTGAAGAAACCTAAATTTTAATAAAACAAATAAGGGATAATTTCGTAAGTCTTAATTTTTAACTAATGTAGATAGAAATAAAAATCTAATTACCTACTTGTGGTAATTTCC